GCAGCCAGAATGTGTTTACTTAATAAAATATTGAGAAAAGTGCAATTGTTTTTAGAGAAAATTTGGTACAAGTGATCGTTGGGAAAAGTTAGTATAAATTTTTCCCTACTGGTTGTTTATTAAAAGATTGGAATTTTTATATGTGTTATCAATTTGATAAAGATGAATGAAATGTGTGCATGTTTCCTGAAGAAGATGAAATAAATACAAATATATTTGATATAGCAAATTTTGCATTAATTATGATAGTCGATTATATGCAAGGATTTTTTAAAATGAGAAGACTTCAAAATAAAATCCCACTACCAGATCCACAATGACCAAATAAACAAGATTCTAGATATATTACAGATCTGAATAGTTATTTCTTAGGCCAACAATTTTCATTTAATGTAGGTCAAACAGGTTTACCAGTATATTTTAGTGATAGAGAAATTGAAATAGCTTACAGATATAATGCTGATATTGAAAATTCATTAGAATTAGCAACATTAATTGTAGTACAACTTCAACAACAACAACAAGAACAGAATGGTAGACAAGAAATGGAAGGGGTAGAGAATGGTGAACAAGAAGATGCAGATATTTAATTTTAAAAATAATATAAATATTAAAAGTTTTCTTTTTTTTATTTTAAATTTTAAATTTTTATTTATAATGTCTTGTATATGCAAATATAATAATAAATTTGAATATTGTTGTTATTATTATTCTGATTCGCTTAATAAAAAACAAAATAATGTTGATGAAACACATATTACTTTTGTTATGGCTCTTGAACAAGTATTAATACAATATTATTCAACAACTTAACAACAAGCAAATCAACAATAGCAAGAACAAGATCAACAAAATAAAGATGAGGAAATGCTACTACCACCTTAAGCAAAACTACCTGAACAAACTCTAGCTCTAGATTTATTTAATCAATTAAAAAAAAAAATTAAAAAAACACAAAGATCTAATACTATTAAATTAATCAATAATGGTAATTTAGACAATAGAATTAAAAATACAAAATTATTATCTAATCAAACTGAAGAATTATAAAAACTACGATTATCAAAATTGGATAAATTATGTCTTAAACAATACAGTTATTATATTGATTTAATAAATAACACAGAAGATATTACAATATTGAATAATTTACACGATACTATTTTTAATGATGATAAAGTTTTAATAGCGATGCAAATATCAAATATATTAAAAAATATAAATGATAAAATCTTTAAAATTAATCAAAAAAAAATACAATTTAATCAAAAATGGAATAATTAAAGAAAAAGATTCAATACGATTAGAAGTTAATTGGAAAGATACTATTGATAATGCCAAATATCTTAATAATAATCAAAAAACTAAATTACATAGACTTCGAAACAGTCAAAAATGGGAAATTCAAGGATCAAAAAAATTTGAACAATATAAATCAGAAATTGAAAATAAAGTAATTATTTCTAATTTACTTGATAGAAAATCATATAATATTTTAATATCAAATGATAGCTTGTTAACAGAACAACAAAAAAATCAACTTTATACATTAAGAAAACAAAGAATTCAAATCTTAACAAATAGTTTATTTGATAAACTTAAAAATAATATAAAAAATAAACGTGTTTTAAGTAAATTAGAAGATAAAGGATACTATGATAATAGAATTAATGAAATTCATAAAGAATTCTTAACTGATAGAAAAACAAAAGATTTACATATTCTTAGAAGATGGAAATTAGATAAGATTCAAAGTGAAACAGAAGATGAATTATATGATGTTAATTCAGAATTAATTGATACCATTCAAGATTTAAATGAACTTGGTGATAATTCAGATCTTGCAAATGATATATTGGAATTAAACCAAACTTTACTTACTGGAGATAGAAATATAAATGATTTGATTACTAAAAGAAAACAAAATTATAATAATAAATTATATGACAATTTTATTGCCGCAATAAAAATTAAGACAGATATTGAAGAATTACAAAATAATTGGAAAATAAAAATCGATACTGAAATCAAAAAAGAATTTCTTTTACAATTCAGAACAATAAAAAATTTACATAAAATATGAGAAGAAAGAATAGCATTATTAAGATAACCACCTTTACCTAAATGACCAGCTAATGATAATACAGATGAAAATTATTTTCCAACAAGAATAATTGATAATGCAAAACAACAAAGAAATATGGAAGAAAATACAAATGCACAAATTTCATAGATTGTTGATGAATATAAAAAAACTTTAAACAAAGATGATAAAAGAAAATTTACATTAAAGGCAAAAATAGATCATATTAAGGGTAGGGTGTATGTAGATTATTTTTCATATGATCTATATGGTATATTAGATTTTTATATAGTAAATAAAAAA